ATATACAGCTGTAATATACACACATGGTGTAGATGTATGTACATATACAGCTGTAATATACACACATGGTGTAGATGTATGTACATATACAGCTCACGTTTTTCAGTGTTATATCATGCAGTCAGGGGCGGATTAACGCACAGGCTAGATATGGCTTAAGCCTAGGGGCCCCACGTGTGCCTGCCTGCAAGGGGGCCCCCATTGGCGCGGAGGGGGGCGGGGTTGGGGGGCTCACGGACTATTGTAGCCTAGGGGCCTCTGTGCACCTTAATCCGCCCCTGCATGCAGTGTTTCTCCAGCTGGTCCTCGGGGACTGTCTGTGGGTCCATGCCGACCGGGTTCGAAAACACTGCTCTAACTAATACACTCACTGTATGCAATATATAGTCACTGGATTATACTGGATAGCACTGTGCTTGTGTCTGCTATTCATTTTACTGTCATTGTTTATTAAAGGATTAAGCTATAATAGGCTTTAATTTATTATGAATTGTTATTGTCATAAATTAGATATTTAAATTTGTTCACATATAATGTTAGTATCTGTGATGGGTTGGCCCCCCATCCCTGGGCCCCTGTATGGGACAAGCAGATATAGAAAATTGATGGATGGATGGATGGATAATGATATAATGAATCCATCTGAGGTCATCCCTGCACTAGAGAATATGCTTTCTGTGCTTAAATAAAATTCTGTTTCACTCGTCCATTAATGGATATATATACTGAAAAACTGTACAAACTTATTATACTTTACTTCAGTGCAAATTACTTCACAGCATTGACGATTGAACAGAATCTCCTGAGTTGGACACATGTTACTTTAATTTGTTAAGCCTACAATTTGCTATGTGGTTTGCCTACATATACACTGAAGGCCAACACATGTTAGAAGTAGCATTTGCAATCCCTCAGTAGGCTTCTTTGATTTCATAAGGAAATTTCTGCTGCAGGTCCACGACTCCCCAGCAGTGGGAGCAGTTCAGCCGGTACAATGTGAGCCGGGCAGAGAAGGAGATGTTGGCCTCTCTGCAGCTGAGGGAGGATATAATTCTGACCATTGCCCAGGTAAAGAGCCACCAGTTCCTGCCTTTACACTGGGTAGAGGAGCACATGGCTTTAACAATGATTTGGGGGAACTTTCAGTCAAACCTGATTAATTATTGTGAATGTTGTCCAAGACCAGGCGGACTTGACTGTGATTGTATGTTAGTTAGAGGAGACCCTCAGCAAGATCATGACTCGGGTAGATTTATACCATGCTTACTGTGAATTCCATTACAGGGAGATGTGTGTGACTATGGTCCTATATTGTCCTCACTCTGCCGCTGCTTCCATCAGGTTCAGAATGAACTCCAGGCCCAGTACATCTCCACCAATTTTGCTCTGCGCAAACAGGCTCACCATCTGCAGCAGGCGTACGACGGGTTGCTCTGGCAACAAAAGACTGTTAGTTCTGGGCGTCTTCAACGCCATCACCTTCCTCTTTACATCGTCTCCTTTGTACTGTAATTTGAGAGCCTGGAGATTACATGAATGTCCATTGTTCCTGTAGGGATGGATAGGGTGACTCTGTGCTTGTTTAATCTTGTCTGTCAGACCAAGGAAGAGATTGCCGAGCTAGAGCGTGACATCTGTGGGCTGGAAGAAGATCTTCGGGCAAAAGAAGCTCCTCTGAAGTTGGTCCATACTCGCTTGGAGAACAGAACCATGAGACCAGGGGTTGACCTCTGCCAGGACCAGGTATATCCATCCATCCATTCATAAATCCATTTTTTTACTCGCTTACAGAGGGCAAAAAGCAGGGAACATGCTGGACCTGATGTCAACCCATTGTAGGGTACAAACTACCACTACATACCAGTGGGTTACCATTGACTCTTACTGACTCTGTGGTTGTGTAGGTGCAGTGCGGGCTGCTGGATGAGGCTAAACAGCTCGATGGCACTGTCACATCTCTGAAGCAAAAACTTTCCCAAGCCCAGTAAGTCTCTGTTCATTACGCTTTGTTATATGTTATGAGACTAGTGAGAAAGTCAAGCTTCATCATGGTTGATATGATGTAAGAGTTTGCCACGTCCTGACGGGGGATTGGCTTATATCCATGTGACTCTTTGCGGATTGGCTCTTGCTTATTTGACCGGGTTCTGCGCCCCATCTCCTCCTAGGCACTCCCTGCAGATTCTGAAGCAGCATGAAGCCTGTATGGAGGAGGACCTTTCTTGTAAGTCGGACGCCCTCTCACTGGAGCAGCAGAGCTTGGAAACTAGAAAACACCTGGCAAACGTGAGCCGGGACCAGCTGGCCTCTGGCACCGTCACCTCGCTCACCAAGTCCACCAGGGATGGAGAGCTGCAGCCCTGATCCTCTTCCTTTAATTCTGTTCACTTTATACCCTTCTTATCCTAGGATTTGAAGTCAAATTGTAAGAGTAAATATGTACCGTCGATCTACTAGATTGCTAAATACGGTGGTAAGATGAGTTTAAATTTTGTTCAGAATAAAGAAATCAAACCTTTTCTGAAAACATATAATTGTTAAATGTGTGGAAGTTTAGTAAACGATTGAGGTACTTTGGGAGAATGTAGGTATTATAGTACAGAGGACAGAATGGGATTACTCTTTGAGACTATTTTGCTGTTTGCAGTACTACTTTTAAAACCACCTGTTATTAAAGGGTTAAGAGAGGGAAAAAATTTTGATTGCAGAATGGAAATGTTTATTAGGATGTAGAGAGAGATAACCTGCAATAAGCACTTATCTGGATGGGATTTTATTGGTAATAAACCATTTAGCTGTCTCACTGATTGCTTGAATGTCTTTCAAATTGTAAACATGGACCTGTGTGTTTGAGAAGATGTCTCATGAAAAGAAAACACAGGGAATCATAAAAAAAACAGTGTTGAACAGTACAGTAAGAATGGCAATAGACAAAGAATTCTGAGCTTCATATTTGTCTGAATGAGACTTAAGGATTTCACGAAGATCCTTTCAAGCAAGGTTTTAATTAACAGCACAGAAGAAGCATTTCATTTCTCACTAGGTATGGAGTTCAGCACATATACTGGATGTCCATTCAAGTGTTTACTAGACATATGGTAAATATGTTACAGACTAAACCTAGTCATGGCTCCTACACACAATACAGTAACTCTAAACTTACCTTTTATAAAACATACAGTTCACTATTGTATATGTGTAGATGTACCTTGAGATCGGGATTGCGGGGTGTAATTTTGGAATTTTGCTATGATTAACTTTAAAGAGACTGAGCTCCACCCTCGGTTGGTGACAGGTGGTTTAGCCCCGCCCACACAGCCACCGCTAAGATGACCCCGCCCACATAGCCACCGCTAAGATGACCCCGCCCACACAGCCAACAGCAGGAGCCTTTATAGCCTAATTGCACGACCATAAGATTAATTTACGCACGCTTGGCTGGATACAGTCTGCACGTCTTCCCGAAGGTACATGTTATTTATTTACACTATTTGCGTAAAAAGCACAATTATTCTGAATCATTTCACTAAAGGACTCGGAGGCGGCCGCAGCTGCTGGCCAGGTGTCTGCTAAATGCCATCTGGCGAGATCATTTCCGGCCGGATGCCCCCAGGTGGATTACTTCTGGGTGACTGCCCCCCCCCCCCCGTCCATACTACACGTCCTGCATTCCTTCCCTATCTCAGTCCAGCTGCACGTTGGTGGAGGAGAGGACCTGTCTCTCCATCAGGATCAGAACTTCGATTGCTTTAACATGGTGATGGTATCTGACTGGAATTAGGACTCCCAGTAATGAAACGCTTACCAACTTGAAGGTTACATTTGAATATTTTGCTGCGGAAGAAGTGAAAGTGCTCCCGTGGGTGTTTAGAGGATTCCTTGGCGCTTTCGCAGCAGGGCTTAGCACCCAGACGCTAACGTTTGACTGGGAGGCAGTGGGATGCAGATGTCTTGGAGGCCGGCCAATTGCTGTGAGCGATGACCGCCGGAGTGGCTCCGCGTGACTCTGTCTTTCTGGTCGTCTACTCCGTCACCTTCCTGCTGGGCCTGCCGGCCAACCTGTTGGTGCTGGCCGTGTTCGTGCGGAAGGTGCAGAAGCGCGGGGCCACGCCCAACGTGGTGTACGCGCTCAACTTGTGCACCGCCAACCTGGTACTGGTGGTGTGGCTGCCGGTGAAGGCTGCCGAGATCCTGCTGGAGACCTGGGCCCTGCCGGGGCCACTCTGCCCTGCCTACAGCTTCTTCCTGTTCGCCTCCCTCTATGGCAGCTGCCTCATGCTGACCGCCATGTCAGTGGGCCGCTACCTCAGCATCGCCTTCCCCATCAGCTACAAGATGTACCGCCGTGCCCAGCTCTCCTGCTGCATCAGTGCCGGGCTCTGGGCCCTGGTCCTCCTGCATCTAAGTTTAGCCCTGGTCGCGGAGGAGAACATCTACTTTGTCTCCACCCGCCCCCATGACAACAGCTCGGCCTGCTATGAGAACTTCACCCCGGAGCAGCTGAAGGTGCTCCTGCCCCTACGCCTGGAGATGGCCATCCTGCTTTTCCTGCTGCCCCTGATCATCACTGCCACCTGCACTCTGCGCTGCCTGATGCTGGTCCAGCGATCCAGCCTGTCTCTGGGCCGGAAGAAGCGCGTCCTTGGCGTGGCCCTGTCCACCTTCGTGGTGTTTGTGGTGTGCTACAGCCCCTACAACCTGTCCCACGTGGTTGGATTCGTGCAGGGCCGTAACGTGAGCTGGAGACAGGAGGCCATGCTCTCCAGCTCCTGTAATGTCTTCCTTCAGCCTGTGGTCATGCTCCTGCTGTCCCCGGGGCCCCCCAGGGGCCTGAGAGCCAGGCTATGTGGCCGCCGGGCACCAGGGCTTGCCTTGTTCTGCCAGACACTGATCTCACAGCAGAGACTGAGCAGCAGCAGCGACAAGCAAACCTGAAGCGGAGCGCGTACATCACAGCAGAGATCAGATCAAGAAGAATGAGGGACATCAACGATGACCTGAGATTTATAACTCTGGTTTCCCCCTGGGGTCTGGCTTCAGATGGACATCACTCTGATTCTGATGTTTGTGTTTCAGGTGAGCTGAATGCTGGCCCTGCTAAGGTTAAAACTCAGGTTTTAACACAGGGAGCCAAAAGTTTTTGGGATGCTAATGCTAATTTGCTTATTGCTAATGCTGTGTTTAAGTGGATCCTGCCTCTCTGGGGAGAGTCCTCATTAGCAGTCAGCAAGGTTCTGGTTTTTATGACATCGGTCTTATTCATTTTTATTTCCCTCAAGCACTGGGGTCTTCAACGTGGGGTTCCCTGGGGTATGCAGAAAGGTTTTGTAAAACTTTGTAAAACATTGTCGATACTCTTCTGTACAATGCATGCAATTAGCTAGTGGAAACATCTCTGCCAGCAAAAAGTATCTAAAAGCCCATCAGAAGGTAGAAATATGAAAGGCCACCAAACTGCTTCATTTTTGGTCACAGTACTTAGAAAATGACACAATAGTAGCAGAGGGGTCTCTAGCTCTGTGGCTCTTGTCGATTCTCATTCACTGGTCCCTGATTTAAGAACAGCTCTAGCTAAAAAAGATTCACAATAACATTGATTTGATGTTCCCATTTGTTCGTCATCTTGTCAGTTTAATACAAAAAATCTGAACAAATTGTACGGTTTGAATCATGTAATATAACATTATGTGGTAAGTTTTTCGCTTGTTGCTGATTTTTCACAATCAGCACAATAAAAAGATACAGTAGGACACACGTGTAGTCCTACACCTCAGCATCCTGTTATTTAGCTTTACAAAATAAGAATCCAGTTCAGCACCTCGTAATATGAACACCTGCTGCACAAAATCAGCCCCCTGGTTAATCAAAAATATTCTTAATTTGGGAAAAAGAAAAAGTAAACAGACAGTATTTCCATACAGTTTGCAAGAGTTTTCTGGGGGGTAGATCGCCTTAATATCTAACGATTAATTACAGTAACTGTCACCCCTCCACTGCTCTGAAAGACACCAATAGTGAAGCCTATACAATGCAGTCGTCGCCACCTACTGGCCAGTAGCGTTCATAGCATCAACGGAAATTTACCGACCGTCCCTGTTTTGATACTTGAATGATTTGTGCCTGTCATGCATATTATTGTATCTGTTTTTCATATATTTAAAATAAAAGCTTGGCGATTCAGCTTTTTAAAATTCGACTTTTTTGTTGATTATTCAGTAGCTTTGTGATACATAAAACTAATATTTAAAAGATTAGGATTTGATAAGCCGTGTGACAGCAACACAAAGTACACTTCAGCATTCAGATGGATGAGTAGGATTAGATCATCTCTTCATATTTTGTTCATTGCCAGTTAATCCAATAATTGACCAGGCAGCTGCCTAGGGCAACAATTTCTGAGGGGCGCTGCCTTTGCCAACCGATTTCACTTGTGCGTTGGCAACACACTAAACAAGACAAGGTGAAACCGGCTTGCTTGAACCTCTAGGAATACTGCCGCCCTCTACAGCTATGCAGAATAGCTATGCTATGGAAAGTCCCCAAGAAGATAGCACAGCATGACCATCCATCCATCCATTTTGTAAGTGCTTATTCAGGGTTGTGAGGGTCTAGAGCCTATGGGCGTAAGGCAGGGAACAACCCAGGATGGGGCGCCAACTCATCACAGGGCACACTCACACACCATTCACTCACACACCATTCACTCACACAACATTCACTCACACACCATTCACTCACACACTCACACACCATTCACTCACACGTGCACTGTGGACATTTTGGTAACTCCAATTAGCCTCCGCACATTTCTGAAGATATTAAAAATGAAGCTGTATTGCTTGGATGCAGACTGCTCAGTTTATATTAACAAAAAATATATTAAAATAAATAAAATAAAATCAGCTACTAATGGTTACAATTACTGGCAAAATGAAGAGCTTAAATGATTATTCATGCTGTAACGACAATTTGATGTCAAACTTCTATCAGTGATTCTTACTGGTTATTAAACATTGATCACATCATAAACCAGACAGTGATGTCATCCAGTGATAACAGATATCTGTATAAAAGCAAATAATCTTCAGTGTGAGTGTTGATATAAAGACATATCACCAGCATGGGAGACGATTACTGGGATCCTTATTGAGATACAGGAGATGCAGACGGCTGAACAGCCAGCACAGGTTCAGTGCAGAGTGGAAGTGAGAAGGCACAGAGGTAGCAGGTGATCAAGGACAGAAGACGGACCGTGGGAGGAAGCCGCAACACTCCATCTCGCCAACACACGCACACAAAGACCAGACACTTACCCAGAACTACCCTGTCTTACCAGTAAGATATACAGCTGTACAGTCATGAAAAATATTAAGTACGTCCTCCTTCAATTATATATTTTTATTCATCAGGGCCTAAATAACAATTGTATGGTTCTCACTAACTTCCACACTAACTTCCATAAACGAACAATCCAAAAAAACAAAACAGATTTCAATATGTTGCTATTTTTTCCAAAAAGTAAGCCACCATTCAGAAACCATGTGGGAACAAAAATACACTATATACCCAAAAACTCAGGAACATTCAGACCTACAATACCTTTAGCAACAATAACATTTTCTGCAGGAATTTATCAGCGTCTTATATCATTTTGGAGAAATTGTGGCCCGTTCTTATTCACAACATTGCTTCAGCTCATTGATATTTGAGGGCATTCATCTATGCATGGCTCTCTTTAGGTCCCACCACAGCATTTTATTAGACTTTGACTTTGCAGTTCAAACACCTTGATTTTTTCATCTTCAGCCATTGAGGTATTGATTGGCTAGTGTGTTTATGGTCTCCAGCTTGGTCTCAATGGTCCGAAGAATACTGTTCCAGAACTTTTGTGCTTTACTGGGGTGTAATTTTGCAAAGCTAACATGCGCCGCCATATTCATTTAGGAAACTTTTTCCGATTGTGCTGCCAAGAATATCTAACATGGTAGCTGAGGCTTTTCTGTCATGTAACACAATTCTTACTTTTAGGAGAAAAAAAATGACAACATATTGAAATTTGTTGTGTTTTCTCATCCGAGGTTATGTTTGTTTGCAGAAATTGTGAGGACCAAACAATTATTTAGGTCCTGAAATGAAGGAGGGTGTATTTCTCTTAGCCTCTGGTTCTCTGGTGAACTGCATTGTACAACTGAGATAGAACCAAAGTCACCAGCTGTTAGGGTCATTAGGGATCTGCAATATGTGACCTTAACAATACATGGCTAAATGGAGGATGTTTATTAAATAGAATGTCTAAATTCATTCTCAGAGGAAAATGTTATTTCTTTTTATAAGCGTTTTATAAGTTTTTTTTTTTTATATATAAAAAGTACATATTAACGATTCAGAGTAAATTTCACTATAGATTTATTAGCTCTGAAGTGCTAACACATTGTTTTACAAAGGCTGAGCAAAGTAGAAGAGCGACAGCCCAGACCAGAGGCTGAGCAGGGCAAAAGTATGCCAAACAGGAGGTAGGCCAAGCCAGGCCAGACCAGGCCAAAAGCATGTGAAACAACAGAGAGGCCAGGAACTGACCAGCCCAGGCCAGGCCAAAATCAGGCCAAAAGCAGACCAGTGGTTTATAATAAACTGAAAACAAATATTCAGGCCTCAGCATTTTATAGTGAATATGCCAGATATTGTTAGGGGTCAATGGTTCATAATTTTGCACAAAGGAAAACTGTAGGGCCCAGTGATTATTAAATGACTTGCAAGCTATTTCCTATCATGAGCCTTTCATCTCACCCCGCAACACCAATAAATTAAAAACAAACGAAAAAAAAAAAACAATGATATTAGCAACAATTACATTAATAGTCACAGGACAAAAAAAATACCAAAAAAATAAAATAAAAGCATTGTTATAATAAACGAAGACAATTATACAAAAAAACCCTCCATAGTTCATAGATGGGTGAACATACCCATGGTTAACAACTGGTTGGCCGCTGCCCGCTCCCCAGAGTGAAAGAGGGGGTAACGGCAGAGGGGGGGGCTGCGCTTGCCACCTCCCACGCCTCTGTCCTGCATCCGGGTCCAAGGGCGTGAAGAAAAGCATGGGCGTCCCCGTTCTCAGCAGCGATGTCCTCTTAGTCGTCCAACAGGGGGCACGTGTCTCGGCGCGAGGCGGCGCCCCGCTCAGTGGGCGGCCATGTCGCCGACGCCGTCGATCCCGTGCTGCTGTAGCTGAGCTCGCAGAAGGGCGTTCTCATTCTTCAGCTCCTCGATCTGAAGCCCAGGAGGAGAGCCGGGGGGTCACCAGGGAATGGCGGAGACTTCAGAGATCATGTTCTTCCTTTGCTAAAGCAACACTACGCTAATAATATTGAGTGACAACAGACAACACTGACGCTCCCAGAGCTGTGATGTCGCGGATCAGCTGCCGGTGGCTGATACCTGTTGCCGAAGCACCTCATTCTCCACCTGTAGCCGTTCCACCTCCTTGCAGCCCTCCTGTAGCTGCTGATGGTCCTGCCGCAGCTCCCGGATGTAGTCGCAGGCTTTCGAAAGAATGCCACCCTTACTCTGGGACAGAGACGGGTACTTCAGAGACTGGCGCGCGCACACATACACACACAGAGAGGACTGACACAGTGAAGCAGCCCCCTGCATGCTCATAGACAGAATTCATACTGAATCTCAGATCTACCCCATGGAACGATGCAAAGGTCAGGTATAACAATAAGAAATTAATTGATTAATCTGACCCTGAAATTAAACTGACACAGAATTAAAAAAATCTATCCTGAAATAATTAAAACACCTTGCAGCACCTACCACCCAAATCAAGGCCAATCAAATTAATCACCGGCACTATTTTGCCTGGGGGATCGAAGTGCTTTTACATCCAAAGAAAAGTGTTTGCTGTTAAATTTATCCCAATGCCTGAACTTGTGTTACCCTCAGAACAACACAGTCAGCACTGCACACAGCCGGCGACCCGGAGCATCTCATCATCACACAGCGGGCACACGGAGACCATACCGCTCCAGTCTTGGTGCTGTCCACGTTGCAGTCGGGGATGATCTTGGACAGCGTAACTATCCAGTTGTTGATCTTATCCCGTCTCCGCCTCTCCACTGCCAATGACAAAGGTCACATTATGATTTTGTTCTTTGGTTACTGAAGATGATTCTTCATGCAATTCATTCAATCAACAGTCCAACTGAGGCCAACTAACATATCTGGGCCAGAAGTCAGGATGCAGAGCAGGTTGCGGAAAGCCAGAATGACCCAGATCACAGCTAATCGGAACAGTTTTTTTACATCAAAGGTCCAGATCTTTTATAAAGTATAATGTACTAAAATGATCATGCACCAAGATCTTCTAGTGCAGTGTTTCCCAAGCCGGTCCTCAGCGACCTGGAGGCAGTCCACGTTTTGGCCGGGAGCTGGGAGGGAGCAAAAACGTGAACTGTCTGTGGGTCCCCGAGGACCGGGCTGGCAAACTGTAATGGTCTCTTCACCTTCATTGTGCTGTGCTCTCCTCCTTTCATCTCTGGGAGCTCGGGGTCCCTCCAACTTTCTGCAGGAAAGAATGAGAACGAGGCACCGTTCACAAGCAAGAGTCAGGCACACACTCAGATACACGCACAGGAGAGCAAACATAGACGTCACTGTTGGCTATGACCAACCCGATCCACCGGAGAAAAGCAAGAGTCTCCCTGGGGTAACCTGAAGCTACCATGTAGAACTTACACCAACCTAATGAACTTCTCATTTTCACTGTATGGCAAGTGATCAGCTCAATCACTCATAACTACAAGTGCTGCTTTTACACCCAAAGTGCTCAAAGCCTTCACTGCTACATCCCACCTACCCAGGACACACTGCAAAAACTCCCATGCAGAACAGACAGGGAACCTGAAATTCTTTCTGACAGAAAGTCTTTGGACTAGAGCTGCCACAATTAGTTGACATAGTCAATGACATTGATGCGGAAAATGCGTCGACATCAACAAAATTAGCTTCATGGTTTCTGAAATGCATCAATTCATCATAACCACTGTTTTCCTTTAATATTACTACGTAAATATGGGACAGGAGACCCTTTAATATCCTTTGTCCTTGTAGCTGCTAAATACCCTCATTATTAAAGCCATAAAGTCATCTGCCAGCTACCTTAGAATCTTCGTTGAATAAGTGTTTTTAAGAAAACGTTTAGGCTAAAATCTGGGGTTAGTCTACGTTGAAACAGTGCGTGTGTTCGTGCGCATCGGGCTTCTTGGGACCAGTGATATTATCGTAAAACAAAAACTGAAATGAAAATGGACACTAAATACAAGAAAATAATTTGTGAACAGACATAAAAATAAAAACTATATTTACCAAAAAACGTGTCGGAGTTCAATCAGCAAAATGTACCACCATACCACCAATGTCTTTTAACCTTGTTTATCCACTATATCTCCTCTTTTAAAAGACGTTGCAGTTTGCTAAGCTGCTCCTCTCCTCACTGCCACTTCACTGCTTATCGCTTCTGTGATTTACCAAAACAGTAGCATGGGGTGTTCCACTAACTGAATTTAATAAGCATAAACATATGCCAAATTTATACAGGTTATTAACTTTGGGCATCACAATACGCATATCATTAATATTTTAGACATACTACTAATCTTCTTATTGAACTGTGGGTGAAAATAATGTCTGTATGGTGCCAAAAAGCCAGTGTCCGTTATCTAAAGCCCTGCAATTACATACAGTTTGTTGTTATCAAAATAAAATTAACTGAAATGGTCAATGTGATTCTCTGGAGGAAAATTAAATGTTTAAATTAATTAACCAAATCGGTAAAATTGTGTACAGTTTAATACATCGAAAAATAGTTAGTGGCAGCCCAAATTTAGAAGCTTGCTAAATTCTGTAAAAATGCTGGAAATTTATTGGATTCATAACAGAAGTCCATTGACAAGTAATGTTTAACATATCTGCACATATCTTCCGCACAGACATTTTCTTTTCATTGAGTGCTGAATTTACTGTGCAGTACTTTGCAGTGCAGCACTGTAATTGCACTGCAAGCTCCCACTCACTGTACTCGGTCCACTCAGCCACTCAACTTTCTCCTCACATAACTGCAGGATCCACTGACCAGTTGCTGATCATGATCTGACCCTAATGAACGTATGCAGGTATGTGGGCGACACTTACGTGGAGTAGGGATGCGTGCGCGGTGCGATGGTACGCGGCGTGTTAGACTGCAAGACGTCGGACGGAGTCATCATGACATAGAACTGACCTGAGTGAAGAGATCAAGATGGCTGCTTAGCACACCAGCACCCAGAGTAGCTTAAAGGCAATCTGTCAATTAGCTTGATGAGGTCCTTCTCAATTGAACTGCTGTGATGTAACAATCCTTTCTGTGCCGAGCAAATGTTCCAGATGAATGACTCACTTCCTGCCTGTGTGGCTGCCTGGTCTGTCTGTATGGAGAGAGCTGACCCGTCACTCACGGCCGCTGCGGGGAAGTAGGTGAAGCGAGTCTCACCCCCCGCTGACTCTGCAGCGGGACTGCCGCCGTTACTGAAGGTGTTCTGGGCCACGGCCTTGGAAGAAATGAAGGAAATATAATTATAAACAACAGGCTCACATTTAAGTAGTGAGAAAGGACAGAGGCGCAGCCACAATATGGACGTGCACACACAGGCACCGCCCACCGCTGGACACACGGACACGGGCTCCCAGATGCTCTCACCTGGGCGGCTGCCTGGGGGTTACCAGGAAAAGCGGCAGTGGAGACCACACTGATTGTCCCACCTCCCTCCCCTCCGGCTTCTAACTGCTCGTTTGTTACCTGGACAACTCGATACGTCACCTGGAAAGGGGAAGGGCCAAAATAGTACAGCAGGTTCCGCGCGCAGATATGTCTGTGTTTACAGAACAAATACAAACACACATGTGTGCACGCGCACGCACACACAGGTTTGTAATGATATCTTTGTGGGGACTCTCCATTCATTTCTATGGGGAAAACTCTTCATAACATGACAACCTTAACCCCTACCCAGCCCTAACCATAACCACAAGTAACCAAACAAAATACGAGACTTTTGGCATTTTAATTTTTTTGATTGCATTCACAGATCTTTGTGGGGACCCAAAAAACGGTCCCCACAACGTCAAAAAACAGCTTTTTATTACATTGTGGGGGACATTTGGTGCCCACAAAGTAATATAAACCTAACCCACACACACATACATGCTAGAGAGAGCATCACTCTGAAACCTAAAGCTGAGTGCATCTCGAAACACAGACATGCTTCCCTGCACAAACATTCTCAATGACACTATAGTTCCCTTCTTCGCATGCTCCATTAATTTTATTTTCAATCGATAAAAAATTCCAGGACCATATCATCCACAAATATGTCACACCCCTCAGACACATTTCTCATGCAAACTCAATGAAAGGCCATAAATCCAAATAGCTGGATGGCTTGGAGTCAATAAAACGCACAATGAAACGTCAGACTAAATGTAGCACATCACTGATCTCACCTGCCTCTGGTGTTAAACATGCATTTGATCCTTACCTAAATTTCAAATGTCAAATTAAGTAAGGTGTACCTCAGAAATACTGTAAAAATGAGGCAGTGCTTGGAGTTGGGAATAAGTGAATCATCTTACCTCTCTGTACTCTCACCTAAGCAGTTCTGACTGCAGCACTTGGTACTGAATTCTGACTAAAAATAATCATTGTTGTCATATTCGGCTGCCTTTGAAGCTGAATTAAATTTTTTCATTTCATACTTTTAAAGCTTGTTATGGTAAGCCTTCAGATTATGCCAGATATTACAAATTATATAACTAAGATGTTACAACCTTACCGATGTACAAAAAAAAAAAAAAAAGACCTACTGATACTTGATCTTTTCAGTAAAGGTCTCCACAAAGACATGACTTGAAACAAAAGAAGGACGATCTTTCCCTAATAAGGTTCCCCTGCTCTGAATCTACCTCTACGTCTCTGATGTGCTGATTCGGGTCGTTGTCTTAAGATAAAAAAAAAAATAATAATTTCACTCAGCCTTAGGTATCTTATAGACTTTAATCTTTTCCTAATTGTCTATAATGTATCTCTAGTTCTGATTGTTTGCTTATTCTTGCCTATTTATTAAGTAGTACTGAAATTTTCAGTTGTCTTTTGACAACTGTGTTGTGGCCTCCTGCTTAAGCAAAAATGTTGCTAACTCCACTCCACATTTGGCAGGACAGACTATGGTAAAGGGGCCCATTAGCGCCGTCTCAATACTTTTACGTCACACCATTTAATCTCTAAGCAGCGCAGAGTTAATAAATTCGGTGCAAGTTAATGAGGCTGCAGCCTGATCACCTGTACAACTTACCTGTCCGCCGCTGTTCTCTGTGCGGAACTGATACTGGACATTATGATCCGAAAACGCGGCAGCCTGCTGGACCGTTTCTATGGTAACAGCTCCCTGCTGCACAGTCTCTATGGTAACGGAATCTGGCTCCTCCCCACCTAGACTTTCTTCTGAGACACAGAGAAGCAGAGGTTTGGACCCTAACCATATCAACACCATATGGCCAACAGCAGGAGGAAAGTCTCTAACACACCTCACAGAAACTTCCGGGAAAACGACAGTGCTTTATGTGAAACAAACTCAGTCGCAGATGCGAACCTCCAGAAATATCCCACCTTGTTTAGCTGCACTGAAACTTCAAGCTACAACTGCATTTTAAAAACAATCCGATTGGTTATAAGTACAGTAAATCGGGAAGCAATAATATGGCTATTTCCCCTGACAGCTGGATATCACGGCATTCAGCGTCCTTAAACGAATGGGTAGTACTGATAGCGATCACAAGTCCGACTCATGTCGCGGAAAACGTGCGAATTTCTGGATGGTATGCCATCGTGGCATGCAGAAGTGACAAAAATCCATCAGCTATCAGCTTTCACTCTCCGAAATGACTACCGAAACGTAGTCTTGACCCTGCACGGACTTTGACAACATCCGGGTCGATAGGACAGCGCTTACCACTTACAATGCCTGCGTTATAATACCGTCCCGCCCCCCGATCATCCCAGCTCATCTCTAGACTGAGCTCTTAGATTTTAATTCATGCACACATAATAACACGGAAATTGTCATATCCGAAGAAGCCTACCTTCTTGAAGTTGTACAACCTCCTCGCTTTCTTGGTTTTCGTGACTAGAAGAGAATAGGAATTCGTCTTTCTTTAACTCAATTAATTTTCGATATTACATTTATGAAAACGGCAAGAAATATTTAAAAGGTAATCTGATCATTCAAATATCATATATTTGATAATAGTAACGTGAATTGCAAAAGCAGATAAGTGCCTGTGCAGCGAGCGTTATACTGCAGACACCAAGGTTGCAGTCTCCAAACTTCATGTCCCAAAGGAGCCTCTAAAGTCCCCCTTATCAAATCACCAAACCTAAATGGCGACAATGTAACAGTCCCGTTTATAATATGTTTATTAATATTTCTAATATGTATTAAAAATTGTATACATGTCATTTTAAAATTAAGTCTATTTAGATCAAATTGCTAGTTAAGAAGCAACATAGCATACTTATGCTAACAAAACCTCCGTAACAAATTTTAAAATCTTGGAAAAAATAAGTTTGTTCAATTCATAAATTATAAGTCATTTAAATAAAATGCTAAAGTTGAAATTTCAAAAAAAAATTCTGATATATAACTTTATGTTGTATAAGTCAGAATAGCTTTTTGATAGCTTAACCTATTCGCAAAACAGCTAAGATTTCATAACATCCCGTTTATACAAATCGACTGACATCTAGGTGTGTTCGATAAGACACCGACACAAACTGTGGCAAATCACTGCAAACTGTAAAATCATCGTCAGTTTTAGCTTTCAAATTTTACTTAAACTTGCTAAACAGGCCCTGCTAAGAACATGGAGGCCGAGCCACGGAAGCCATTTAAGCGAGAGTGGCGAAACGGGCCGCCGCTTACCTCGGTACTGTGTCCAAAGTCTGTTCGAGCATATCCATGAGGTCTGAAATTCAAAGTGATATATTCAGGGACAGTAATAGATGGAGATGGAAGTGCTGATCACGGGGACAAACACACGGGTCATGTGAGAAAGACAGTCCTGGACACGTGAGATATATGCGAGTAGTTAAAATGGAGACCGCGGCGGCTCGCCGGGAGCTTGTGCTCTTTGTCCGCGTTACCCTCGGCTTCCTGTCTCTCCCTCCCTCTCTCTGATCGCAGCGCCAGTTCCTGATGTATACCCGGCTCGTCCGACAAATGTGGACTTAGGACAAGCGATTCGTTTATTTTTTTTTCTTCTTTAAAATGTCGAGGTTTTATTCTATCGATTTTCGCGTCGACGCGGCAAATGGTTTGGGCTAATGCGTCCGCCAGCCTGCGGCAGGTTTCGGTGCAAAACTTTGCTTGTGACAAAATATGGAGTGGAGTCGGTCGTGCTGCTTGCATAACGGCGAAGGCGAGTGTTTAAGGTTGGATCGTTTTCCCCCGGTTTGAACAGCAATGAGGGAAGTGAAGATCGTTTATCTGCGTCAGTTTTGACATTTTGTCTGTAAAAATTCAGCTGGAGTCTAGTTGGATTCGCATAAGCAGCTGAAATTTTAATGAACTGACCCGTTTTTTTTTCCGCGGGATGTCGAAACCCGTTTTTTTTTCGTTCTCGCGACCGATGGCGAAAACGTCCACTTGTTTATATTAAACAAACTGTGATATACATGCAGTAAAACGTATTTGATTCTCATAATACTATTGCCTCCAGAACGTTAAAGCTATTTTCCCAAAATTTGTGAATTCCGCCTATCTTTGAGGAAAATAAGGTATCGCGTTCAGTGTACGCTGCCGTAGCTATTGTGTGGTCGAGTGACTACAATTCCATTGTCCGATGGCGGGATATTTATTTTACTAACATCACCACTGAGAAAATAAACCTGAACAGTGATTATAATGAATAACATGAGTGTCATCTGTCACCTCGAAGCATAACTTTACGGCTCGGTGTAAGTCCTAGAAGCCAAGCTACTATAAATTGATACCGTGAGTTAGAAAAGAACATTGTGCACAATAATGGCATCTGCGTGGCTCTCAGCTGACACGCGGGATCGAATCCGCGTGCCTCTCAGCTGACCGCTGGGATCCAATCCGGGTTTTCGGGTGGACCACATGACAAAGTCACGTGTTCGACGAAATAATCAAGCCCTGTTTGTCATTCCTGTGTAGTGGGAGATTACTTGTACACATCGTGCACGAACTAATTAATGTAAAATTTGGCTTTAAATTCTTTCGCTTCAATGAGAATCTATTATTTGGTACAAGTGAATTTCGCAAACGGCATACACTACACTTGCAGGCAAACATTTGTAATATTAGGGGGCTCAGACAATGCACTTTCAGCTAGGACCGGATTTCTAAACTCTACATTACAATTAAAAGGACGTATATTTCACTTAAGCATTGAGTTATTGCTGTGTGTTGATTGGTCGGTTTCCTATAATCTTGCTTGTGTAACATGTTAATGTGACACTGCTGGATGAATGTGTCAATCAAGGAAACAAACCAGTCAAAGCGCAAGAAAAACTGAACTATTTAACCAAGTACAGGAGACTTTCAGTTTTAAAGTATTTTGTAAAACTTCATAGTGTTTCCCCTGACGTGGATTATCTGGTCGATCCTACAATATTGCACTGTTTCCCCTACCATTATATTATAGGGCGCCCCGGCACCTCCCGCCCCCCCCTTGAAGGTCAAGTTAATTTAATTTAATTTTATTTTCTATATAGCGCCAGATCACAACAGAAGTCACCTTTCCTATAGAACATGTATATACATTGTCCTTTTATTTAACAAACTAAATAGCCTTATGTTATTCATCTTATCTACACAACAGCTTGTCATTTTTGTCTCTACACGGTCGCGCGTTTACAATTCTCCTCTGCTCTCTGTATCGCGCATAGCGGAGTTCCGCCCCTATGGGGAGAGAGCGCGGGCAGAGAGCGCGCGTCGGAAAATATGTCGCGTCAACCACTTGAAAAGCAGAAAAAAATATCTGCGCTTTTTTACTGCTGTAATTAAAAGAAACACATGAACACCATGAATCTTGTCGGTGTCCGTCTGCCCCCCCCCCCAAAAAAAGCTGTAAACCTTACTAATGAATATTGCTGTCGAGTGCATGAGTGCAGGTTTGTGGTTGGCAGGGGTGCCACATACAGTGTGTGCCCGCCCCTTCTGCACTCTGCTGCTGTGCCATGGCTCTTTGTGTGAATGTGCCAGCTGCAGCAGGTTTCTTTGACCCCAGCAGGACTGCAAACCTCTGCACATCCACGGTTCCAGAAGGCCACACAAAAAACGGACCATATCTGCTCTGCTCCCCCAGCCCATGGCCCCTCACCAGCACAGGCTCAATGGGCCGATCACATGCCCCCCCCCCCCACAGGGGCAAGTCCTAGTCCATTTGTTCTAGGGCAATTGTTTTGAAGGATTTTGCCACCATCGACAAAAAAGCAGAGTGGATAACCTTTTGGAGTTCAGCTCCAGGAGATCCTCTCCGCTTTCTCTCTCAGTCCAGCCTCGCAGCATCTCCCCTCTCCAGATCTTCTTACTGCTGGCTGTTCGGCAACTTTTCTCTGGACAACTGAGGTAGGAACCTGTGGTTGGCTTCAGTCATGGGAGAATCACCTGTAATGTGGCTGAAAACCAGGAAAATGGTGACTGGCCAGAAATTCAAGTTATATTACAAATAAACAAAGAATAAAAGTTCATTTTTAGAAGTTAATACTGTGATCTGCTGCCTCGTCTTGAGTGAAACTGGTACCTTTGAGTGTCAGGTCGTCAGAATATCAGCTACAAAACATGATGGGCATACAGTGTGATTTTTTTTTTATGGAATATTGCATTAAACAATACAATAAAAAATTGGTAGCCTGTTTTGAATCAAATTCAATTACTCTGCTGTAACAATGAATAATTTGTACTCTAGATCCACATAATATTTTAATTCCCTAACATAATTTGGTTTTCAGGCAAATTGTTTAGTATAGTAGTATTACTGTGTGATTTTAAATCAGAGACCTCCAAACAGTCCACATTTTTGCTCCCTCCCAACTCACAACATTCTTGTACCAGATGCTCAGTGTTCTTGATTGTTTTGTTTCATTCTTGATTGTCTGGGAGTCCCTGAAGACTAGGTGGAGAAAATTTTAAAAATAAACAAATGTCAATTTCCCTGCAGCAACAGAGCCCAGAATGCAGTAACTGATCATAGTAGTAGTGCTGATCAGTAACTATAGTGATAACTAACAGCGACTGCACTATTGTACAGTGATGCACTGTGTCATTCTGCTGCTAAATAGCATGCTTGCTACTGTAAAAAGCAACAGTTTTTATAGCAGCTGGTCTGTGCACCAAACTCGTACATGATGGCTCCATTGCACTGTAATGATGGGGGTCACGCATCCCTCAGTGTGTTGTAGAGCTTCTCAGGATGTACAGCTTCATGGGAGGGGGTCTCTTCTGTGCCATTGTGGCAAACATCTTGCTGGTGGTGTCCACCGCCACCGACTACTGGATGCAGTACCGGCTTTCGGGGAGCTTCGCCCACCAGGGCCTGTGGAGATACTGCATGTCCGGCAAGTGCTACATGCAAGCAGACAGCATTGGTGAGTCAGTGTGTGGTTGGATCTCTGACTCACTGCAGTCACTCTGGAATTAAGGGAGATACAATACTCGGCTCACCATGATGGGTAGGATTACTGCACTCTGTCAGTCACTGGCTGGTATATCACCCCCTGCTGGTTATCTGAGGTTACACCATATGATGACTGACACTTCCCGGGGTGTGGACTGGCAACAAAAAGCAGCTTGGGAATTGGCCGCAAACTTGAGGGGTGGGTCCCCCTGGCTATATTTTGTCACAACTGGGGTGGGGGGTAGTTGCCTTTAGTATATTTTTCCAGTCTTGTTCATATAGGCTACATAAAGTAACATGTGGTCCATCCCTAGCCTACTGGAACGCCACACGAGCCTTCATGATTCTCTCTGCCATGTCCTGCTTCGCTGGCATCATCGCTGGCATCCTCTCCTTCGCCCACTTCTCAGCCTTCGAAAGGTTCAACCGCTCCTTCGCTGCTGGCATCATGTTTTTCATCTCCGGTGAGTCCCAGGACATGCAGATTCCACAGCTCCCATAATGAGCTTCCCCACATGTCATATTGCCCACAATTCCATTTATTTTTCTCCACTACTCTTCCCAACATGGTTTCCCAGGTGTGCTTGACATAATATGCTGTAATGGTATTTATAATTTGTAATTGCAGGAAATCGATTTACCTGTTATAACATGAAAAGCAACATTATTTCCTGATTTACCTGTAATAACCCACCAGTATCCTCCTTTGTGTAGTTTGCATGCACTAACCTGTGTTTCTTCCAGATACTCTTGTTTCCCTCCATAGTCCAAATACATGAGGTTGAGTGAACTGGCATCTCTAAAAACATTGTGTTTTGGTGTGTGTGGCCCGTTATAGACTGCCAGAATGTCCCCTTTATTGTACACTGAGCCTCCCATGACAATCTACAGGCTCTCCACAAGCTGTACTGGATTAGTGGATGGATGGATGGATGGCACAAGCTGCAGTGCATCTTCTAATTTTCAACCCAAACCTTAATACAGTTTGTGCATTAAAACCATTCGAGGCAAACGTGACAGTGACAAAAGTACGTATTCTTAGGTTTCTCTGCCTGACTTGAAAAGCGGTGCTCTGCTTCAAACCCATTTCCTCAGCTCTCTTTGTCCTACTGGCTATGGCCATCTACACTGGAGTCACCGTCAACTTCCTGGGCAGGCGCTTTGGTGACTGGCGGTTTTCATGGTCCTACATCCTTGGCTGGGTGGCCCTACTTATGACGTTTTTTGCAGGCAAGTTTCTCACATTGTGCTGCACCGTTTGTACTTTCTGAAAATCCCCATCCAGCGTTTCCACCCAACGAATTTCTGTTGCAGGAATATTCTATATGTGCGCATACAGGATGCACGAGTGCAGAAGGATGACTGGATCTCGCTAAAACTCGGGTTATAAACGAGTAAATGGCAAAAGAGGAGAGTCAGAACCAGACTGAACAGGTGGAAGATAAAGCCGTTTGGAATCAGCACAGTGTGAGCAGCACTGTGATGGAGGGTTCGGGTTTCTCATGCGCCTAGTTTGTGGACAACATCAGATTTTGTATATTACAATACTACTTACCTATTTATAAATGAAGTTGATGTATGCTGTTACAATCACATTCACTGAATGATCAATAAAGTTTGTTACAACCTGGGTGACTAATTATTGCCTTCAATTTCACTGATACGTAAAATTAGTATGTAAACGTTCTTCACAAAAGCGCCAAACATGCTGACTAAACATTAATATCTGCTGTTTACTTGAGACGATTTTTCTCTGGTTATGCAGTACAATCTAGTCCAATATTGTACAGAAATCTTGTTCTTGTGTATCTGTCTCCTCTTTATTTAGCAATAGATTGAACATTCCCTCTGAACAATTATATTGCATTTACAAGTATGTCCAAATCAACATAAGGCTTTATGAAACTCAATAAAAAAAAACATTTGCTTGTCACATGTTACCGGAGAACAGTGCTTGTGCTTGTATATTGTGAGAAAATCCCAACATTTGGGCCAATTTTCTGTATCAAAATACAATTCCAAGCTAAATGCGCTCTATTGCCTGTTTTTTTTTTTTATATAGACCTACTGTAGTAGTCTATAGTAGTGAGTATTTATTAGCAAGAATACATTTTTTTTATTTTGGTGTAACTGTGTCGTATTCGTATGATATTTAAGGTGATGCTATATATAAATATAACTTAATGTAAGAATGCGCACTGCTGATGGTTTGACTGGTTTAATTGCCTTCTCGATGTTAACTAAACAAATATTTCCCACATAGTGACAATCGCGACTATTTGAAGGCGGAGCTCCCACCGCATACGCCCCGCCCACTTTGACTATATTGGCATGGTGGTCCATACCATTACTGCAAAATTATAGGGGGACTTTGAATTTAACAAACCCATTTTTTTGCGGGCGTACTTTATAATTCATTATTTTAGGACACAATAGTACATTTTATGTATAGGTATATACTTATATATTGTGTGATAATTCCATCATTGTGCGTACGAAGTTACATATTTATGGCACGTTCGCCACACTCATCGCGTCATCGCGTCGTTTCCTGTTTCGGACGCAGGTGAAGAGAGTTGGGTAATGTGAAAGGATTAAGCAGGTAATGAAATATGGCAACACCGAAGGATTCGGAGGCACGAGAGAGCTTGGGCAGCATGCAGAGCCCGGTGCACAGCGAGACCTCGGAGTACTGCGCCAGACTGCAGGAATGGATGTGGCAGTATTACTGCAGCTATCTGAACTGGCAGAGCTGGATGGCAGCGTTTGCGGCCCCGTTGCCTCCCTGCTGCAGCCCGCAGACGGAGGCTCAGGGGCAACCGGCTTTGGACGGTCGCAGCTGGTATTACGCTCAGTTTCTCGCCACAGTGCCCTCTGATCGCGCTCCCTCCCCGGCCCCGGGCTCCCCGGCTCCCCCCGACAGGCCGGTGCAGCAGCAGAACGGCAACGTTCCGCAAGCAGGTAACTCAGTTGGGCTGCATGACACTCTACGATGCAGCATGACACAGTAACAGGCTGGTGCATTAAAACGCCTTAGAAGCTTAGCCATAGGAAATGGGCATTTGTATTGTTACCCTAGATAGATTTTGCATGTGCTCATTTGCTGATTCTCTAATATAATGTTAACGTTCATGGATATCCCACATAACTTTCCAAAACTGGTTATACAGCCAAATTCAAGTCAGAGCATGATTAGAAAGAGAATATTTGTGTAAAAAAAATGTTTCCATAATTACTTTTCCAACAGTATTGACGTATTAGATTTGAGTTGTTTGTAGCAATGCTAGGTGTTCTCACCTTGAACTATGAGCCGATTGCTTAATATGATAGATAATACACCACCATTGTTTACAAGTAAAAGTCATAGTTAAACTTGACCGACCTGATTATGGTTTTAGTAAATACACACCCATCTTCCATGTTTAGAGAGAGTCGCAGTGACCCGTTAGCCTGTTCCAGGACGCACAGGACTGGGGACATCCTGGATATAATACCAGTCCATCCTGAGTCTACTAAGAAAATGCGCAGACTCCACCTACAGAGTTGGGGTGGGAATCAAACCCACAGCCTTGGAAGTGTGAGATGCAGTGCTGCCCAGTTTCCTGTCACATGTGTAGGAGGTGGGATTAATGGACCCTGTGCTCAAAAACAAAAACCAGCATATCCACATGCTTCAAGCAGAGTTTATGGGCTGGGGGTGCCTTTCCCTGTAGTATAGCTTGATGGAAGCTACTGATATAGAAAGTTATTTTTCTAATAATTTGTTTTTCGGAAGGAAGAATTTCAGCGGTCAGTGTTGACACACCACAGCACACAGTGCACAAAAATGAAATATGTCCAGTGCTTGGGGGCGGTACCTCGCTCAGGGTACCTCAGTGGTGCTTTGCTGGTCGGAGATTCGAACCAGCAGTCTTTCAATTACAAGTGTGCTTCCCTAACCATTAAGCCACCACTGCCCACAAATAAAGAAGTTTTTTAAACCCTGAGTCACATTACTTGCTTTTATTTATGTCTGGATGGTCCTTTGCGCTATTTTTGCATCACTCGGAATTTGATTCTGAGATATTGCTCCTTTTGTGTGGGAGGACACGCCCCTTCTGACTGACAATGACCGTCCATGTGGTTCTCAGCTCTAGGCCCCTCCTCTTTTCTCTTTCAGGTCACGAGTTCACCATCCCCACGCCCCTGCACCGCTTCTGTGCCGAGGCACTGGATTTTATCATCCTGTTCTGCATGAAGGCTGCCGTTATCCTCACCATCATGCACCTAAGTGGCATGAAGTGAGTCACACAGCCGCGAATTTGCCAACCCGTCCGCAGTCTCGGGTTTGCCTGCCTGCGGGCGAATGAGATCGACGTGGTGCACATGGGCCTTTCCAGGGGTCACAATCACTCAGTAATGGTGATCTAACATGTAGTGACTGAGCATCACTCTTATACTGATGCTCAAAAGCTTCTTGGGTTGTACCCTAAGTTTAAATATAAGTAAACGCTCTCATATACAGCATCCGGGTAACTTGTACGCTGAAGTAACTGGCACAATTACAATCTCAATATAAAAATTAATAACGAGTTCCTAGGCCCTGCATAGGACAGGTCTAGAAGATGGATGGATGGATGCCATTAAAATGTACCGTATTTTCGCATTTACCAAAAAAGGCAAAAATAGCATTTAGGATTTGTCTATTAGCAAGCCAACTATAGATATACAGTCGGGCGCCGCGTAACGTTTTCCGGTTAACGACGGACTGCATTTATGACATCAGTCCCATAAGATTATAATGGAGCTGGAAAAACTCCTATCAACTAGTGATGTTGTGTGATGTTGTAGCCATCATAGCATTACTCGTGTGTTTGTGGTGATGCTGGTGTAAGCAAACCTGCTGTGCTGCCACTTGTATGTAAGAATAGCACATAGTTATGTACAGTTTGTAATACTTGGAATGATGATAAAAAACTATTCTACTGGTTTATGTATTTACTATACTGTACTTTCTATCTTTATTGGGTTATACCATATACCCTAGGTGTGTGTTATGCCATGCCGTCTAGGTTTGTATAAGTACACTCTATGATGTTCTCACAATGGTGAAATAACCACCATTCTTCTCAATGACCATTAGGAGCCTGTGGTCCATTGAACCAGTTACGTTTTCGATTTGATCCTATCCTGTATAAGCCGAGGCAGCTGGCAGTGCCTCCGAGACGCTGCTCTGAGAAGCGTACTGCCTACTACCGTGGTAAATCTCATACTTTAGTATGGCGCAGTAGTTCTCACTGGGGGTTATGCTAGGCAAGGAAGGGGGCCTGGCCATAATTCAATCACCTTTCAAGCCTTTCTTGGGCGATCTATGGAATACTTTGTTGCATGGGAAGAGGCATTGAGCTGCACAAATATCATAACATGTTTGAAAGCTGTTGACTTCTTCTTGTACCAATGTTTGAAGAAGGTATCTTGTAGAAATTGGCAGTAGATCTTGTATTTAATTTTTACACAATTTGCAAGTCGGAAAGGTTCTACAAGTTCATCACTGATAACTGCAGCCCACATCACCTGTTCAGGTGCTTGCAGAAGGTGTCCATCAACAGACCATCTGCTTGGTCCATCAAGAAGCATTCTCATCTCATCTGTCCACAAAACCTCTGTAAAATCTGGCTTCAGTGTGTCCTTGCCTATTCTTCATGTTTTAGCTGGTGTGTCTAATTGAGTTGAGATCATGTGTCACATAGTACACTGCATGTAGTATTTCCGGAGATTCCATTCAGATTGCAGTTTTAAAAAATTATGGCATTTGATTCTAAAGAGTTTCTGAAAGTCTCCCCTTTAATTTGACACAGATCTTTGGCAGATAATTTGAATCATCTTCTCATTACATCCTTCTTCCTTTTTCTTTGGCTCTTGGTTGGTCACAAAACACTAGATTGTACGGCGATCATGTTTTCAAAGTCTGGCGATTTGTATTGTTTTGCAGCCGTCTGACTGACACTTTACTTTGTTTTGTTGTTTCCACTGTCTGTAAGGTCATATTTGGTCTATTTTAATAGTAATAATAATTTGCTTAATTCTGCACAGGGAAGTATCTATGGTTTCCTGTTTTACCCGAAACAGAAAGTATTCGGCCTGAGCATGCTGTATTTTTAAACAGTCCATTCTTATTTGGAGATTAATTTGGACTGAAACTATTGGTCGGAAGAGAAGATACAAGCAAAATACATATTTGCCTAATAACAGTACAAATAACAGTGGTTGTGCAAATTCTTATACACACATTAAATCATTAATCATAAATTCAGCTATCTGGCAATTTCTTGGTCCCGAAATTGTCCGAGGTGAAAATATTTACCATACTGCATAGCCCCACTGCAGTTTCACTCTCTTCCTCTGCAAGTACGAGTCGTTAAAAGACCAGCCATTTCCCTAAAACGCTTATTATTATTTCTTTACTATTGTTTTTTTTTAAATGCTTGAATGGCCTCTGGCTGACATGCTGGAACAGCTGTGCTGATTTCCTCCCAGGGACATCTCCAAGTTGGCCCTGCATTTCATCGTAGAAGAGATCAACGAGGACACATCTATGGAGGAGCTCCAGAAAATGATGGTAGTGGCTTTGCTCTACAGGGTCCTGGTTTGCTTTTACGAGGTGAGATTTTCAGAAACCTCCGGTCTCTCATGACTGTTTTTCTCCAGTATGCATCTCTCACAAAACCTGTGCTAATTAGAATTGACATTTCTGGAAATGTCAGGCTCGCTCGACGGGTTTAGGTCAAACAGTCCGGTACTTCTGCGATCGACTCTATTTTTAACTTGTTTTGCACGTGTTACAGAAATCACAGGGAGAGTCTGTTTTCCAATATAATGTAGCAATGGAAAGGTCTGTCCACAGTGTAAAATCGTTGTCTAACAGCAGTGTTTTAATGGTGTTTTAATGAATTGAGAGCAGCCTAAAATAAAGGTTTGATCGTGGATATGTTATGTTAATGATTCATCTTCACAAGGTTCCAGAATTCCCAATGTCTGAAGTCTCTGTCCTTAGAATAACATGCTGTTATTAGAAAAGCTAATTGGCTAATCATGTCAGCCGTAATAGCGCCTTGAAAGCCCATCTGTCTCCTCTGTCTTTGTCTTTCCTTGCTACAGATTATTTGTATATGGGGGGCAGGGGGAGCCACCCCAGGGAAGTTTCTCCTGGATCTTCGTGTGGTCACGTGCGACTCGGCGGTCCTGGTTCGGCCCAGCCGGGTTCGGGTGTTCCCCGCATCCAATGTCTCCCTTTCCGCGTGAGTAAAGGGGGCCCCAACGTTGAATATTATTGGCTCATTGTGGAACCCCTAGTTGTCATGTGACATCTATTGGATCCCCTGATAATAAGAACCCTTGTCCACCCTTCCAGGTCCATGGTTCGAGCTCTGAACAAGAACTTCTCCATCGCTTTTTTCTTCCCGGCCTTCATCACGTTGCTCCTCTTTCAGCACAACAGGACGGTGTACGACATTGTGGCCGGCACCATCGTGGTCAAACGCAGTGGGGCCAGGTGATGGCTGCTTGGTGCCCCTGCACTGCCCATTACCTTAAACACAGGACTGGGACAAACCATTGGGTTGGGGGCGGGGGGTGGGGGGGGGGCTTGCCTGAGTGCCTGAGGACTGCTTCTCACCATGAGGTTCTCCCTACACCTACCGACCATTTCAGGGACACTATCACGATTTGAGGCTTTTTTTTTTTTTTTTTTTTGAAAGATTTCTTTCGCTGTATGATTGTTAGCCTGGTTATCGGTGTAAATTTCTAATTGTTAAGGATATTAATTGCCCAAGGAATGTGGAGTTCAGGCTTTAAGCGGTTTGTGGGAAGGTACCTCGCAGTATCCGAGACGAGATTCCTGAGGTTCCCGGCGCGTAGTCTAACCTCCCGAAATTGTAAACGGCAAAGGCGTTTCTGAGCGGTCATGTTTAGGGTTCACTTGTAGGGAACCTCCGTGATCCGTTTAAGGCAAATGGGATTTTTCAGTCTTGACTTATTTGGCCAGAAGGTCTGCATTTTCCGCAGAGACCTCAAAGAGCTCAAAGGACTTTTATCACGCCGGCTGCAGCGCTGGAAATGGCCGCTGGCCAGCCTCGCTGAGAGGGAACGCGTCGAGCGACTGCGATATTGACCGGCACTCTACCAGCTCCCTTGTGTGGTTGTGCAGGCTTGGCTCATAGTGTCGCCCGTTAATTGGGCCGTTCCTTAGCTGACCCCTGTCTTTATGGGCCCCGCCGGCCGAGCCTGTGGTCGACGCGCACCCGGCGTTTCTGTAATGTTTCTGTGAAATAGTTACGTGTTGTGCAGAGGCTCCAGCCCTGCGGTGGGATCGTTTGGTGCTGCTTTACCGTCAGGCGCCTCATAAGCCGCAGTTATATCAGGGAGGTGACTGGGTTAGGGCCTGTGCATTTTCTGCAGAAGCTTAAAATTAACCTGTTAATAAAATGTTATAAAATTTCAGTATCTCAGCATTTATATTTAACATTTCACTATTTGTCCAGGAAATGGTCAACAGATTTGTGTTTTAAAGGCATTTTAAAATGTTTATGAATTATTTAAAAAGCCATTACTGGTATTTCTTGCTAATATAATACTGTGCTTATGCTATTATGTATGTTGTGTATAGTATTTTGGATCGAGTGCTTATTCGAGTTTTATTTATTATTTTGTATCAACATGCAAGGTTTTGGAATGGTTAATGTGCCCTGCGATGGGTTGACGTCCTGTCCTGGGTTATTCCTGCCTTGCACTTGTAGGATGGATGAATGGATGGATGGATGGACGGTAAGGTAAGGTAAGGTATTGGTAATGCATGGAGCCCCGTCCAAACTGTTCCCCTGCCTGTGTAGGGAAGGCTCTCTGCCCCCTCCAACTCCTTACTGGAAATGTGGGCGTTTTTGGTGGTGGCTGGAGTGTGCTGGTTTGTACTTGACTTGCATCATTAAGCTGGTCTGTGTGAGCGACCCTCATCACTGTGGATCTTTGCCCTGAACCACATCCAGAGTTTCTCGTCTCAAAGCCACGTGTGTCGCCGGAGGGAAAGCGCTGCCCACAATGTTTTAACTTGGAAACGTTTGTGCTCCTCTGACGAGGAAAATGGGCTGTTTGCTCAAACTCCTTTTCGGGTGATTTAATTCGGTGGCTTCAGGGGGCGTTATAGCCGCGCGGTCTGGCCTGGTCGGCATGTGGCTTTTGTTATGTGTGCATTTCTGAGAGCTTTGAAAGAGGTTCAGAGGTGGTGCCAGAACGCCGACCCTCTCCAGACCCGCAGGGTGTCTTACACAGGGCTAAGTGGACTCAGCTGGAATGGGAATGGAACTGGGACCAGTAGGGGGGTCTGCAGTGTTGGGACACTCTAACCAGGATTGGTTGGGGGGGGGGTTACTGTCCCTAAAGAGGGTCAGTCACCTGCCGACACTAGGGGCGTCTGCCGTTAATGGTGGATTTAATGCCGGGATACTGGTGCTTTGAAAGGTCGCCATTGTTTATCTCTTTAAACTTCAGTAACTTAATTTATGGGTGGGTGTGTGTGTGTGTGTGTGTGTAAGTGGAGGACAACAAGATGGGTGATTTTCAGCATTAACTGCTGATTCTTTCCATTCACATTCTCTGCTTTCCTTATTGAATATCAATCTGTAATGAAATCCCTTCCAAATAAATATTGATACAATTTTCAGTATTTTTGTTTTGTATTATTCAATGAGACTGCACCAATAAACATTCTTGCATCCGTTGCATGTATTCCCGGCTGTGATTGTAAACCGTCTGCTGTGAAAATGCCTAAAATTCAAGTTGATTTTGAGACAAAATGCCATTTCCTTCTCCTGTGTGTAGTTGTGGTAATCTAAGTAGAGTACATTTCACGCATACAAGCATTACATATTCATATTACAGTTTTGTTGATTTTTCTCAGCCCAATAAGCTTGACTGTTTGCAGGGATAACAGTTCGTCACTAGAGGGCAACAAAGCAGCAGTGATTCTCGGTCTATTAACCGGTGGGATTATTTGCAAGCAGGCGATGTGCTTCAGTCCCCAGCTGACCTCGGTAGACCCAGACAGACTTGGTTTTATTTAAGTGTGTAATGTCAGAGAAGAAATCGGGGACAAATGTCACCAAAAAAATGTTTTGTGATCCTTTAATTCTGACTCGTAGGGGAAATGGGCGGTTTGTGTGGTGTACTGGGGCGGCCTGCTCCTCGCACCCGGCTGAGGTCAGACGACCAGATTGGCGTCAGAGCACGGCCCGGAAGCGGCGGCTCTCTGGTGCATAGCTGCAAGCACCGTGTCTCCCATCTCCTCCGCAGTCAATGCCCTTACGTCCTCTGTTTATTATTCCCTGCATCCTGCTTACATCGTAACTAAGGTTATTTTTCATCATTGTAATGGCCTTGGTTTTGTTTCTCCGCGCACTGCTGCATGACATCTGCCGCAGTAACTGTCACTAACATTTCCATCGTGTGATATTCTTGCTAATGAGGCTTTGCTGATTCTGACGTTTTTTCTTTTTCTAATTTGCTGGCTTTTTCAGAGAAGTGTTATAAATCTGTGTTTATAGGCAGGTTCTGTGTGTGCTTTGGAAATGACACGTGCATGTGTTGGTGCCAGAGGGCCCGGTTCTGGAAGCGTGGTGCGGTCATGGGTCTAAGGGGAAACATCCAGAACCCCACAGAGACAGACGAGCGAGGGGGGGGGGGGGGGGGGGGCGCATTCTGTTACCGTTCTGTACTGAAATCCAAATAAGTCTCTAATAAAAGGGTCCATCGAGCTGGGCGTCAAGCTCCGGAGAGGGGTCCTGTGTCTTTCCTGTTCCTGTGTAAATCCCGGAGAGGTTGGTGTCCTCCACATCAAAAGAGAAAATCTATTTTTCTGAAACGCTGTGAATGAGGTCTAAAAAACAATTTAAAAACTTAACACCAACCCAAAAAAAAAAAAAAACGGCATTAGATTAATGGAATGTGTAGTTTACTGCCTGGATTTTCTGACCAGGTGTCATTTCCTGTGGTCTCTGGTTTTCATTCTAAACTCAGACTTTGGTGAATTTTGCTGCTGGGTCACCTAAGCAAATGTCCCAGTTTACCACCATACATACAGGAAGTCCCCCCTTGGTGACCTGTGTGAACATGGAAAACAACCGAGAAACCACTACAGCCCAGTCCTCGGGGACCTCCAGACCGTCCACACGTTCCCTCCCGACACACAACACCTGGTATAGGTTGTGCTGGGAGCTGGGAGGGAACAAAAATGTGGACCGTCTGGGATGAAACTACGGACTAAATGACAGTGATCGGTGGCGTGGAGTGAGCTTCACCGGGATCTGTGTTTCTTTCCCTGTCGGATGCTTATTCTGAGTGGGATTCCCCGCCGCTTAGCCTGTTCTCCGTCTTGACGTGCAGACTCTCCCGTTCCTCTGCTCCACCCTGTCGTCCCTGGAGCTGCTCGCAGCGTGGAGGAAATTCCTGGTAACAAAAATGCCGCCCGCACATAAATAAACACGTGACCGTGGGTTCTCTGAGGACACTGGCGTCGAGGTAAACGCGCGGGACGCTTTTCCGTCGCCGTCCCCAGTAATGCTGCTCCTCACTCACCGGGGGGGGGGGGGGGGTATGGCCATGGTTTTTGTTCTGGGAACTGGGACTTCATTCTTGTCAGCCAAGCAGCCCGCCCCCTTTTCTGAGAAAAGCAACCTTTCATCCCTCCTACTTCTGGTTTTAATTTTATTTTTTTATGTGGTCCGAAGTGATTTTATTGCCCTGCACATCTGTTCCCTGCCTGCCCTGCCAGTCAGCCCTGTAAAGCCATGAATCCTTCCCTGTTACTCATTGACGGCCTCTCTGCAGATACCATCTCAGCCACACGCCCTGAGCGTAGGGGAAACGGCGAGCATGATTGCAGGCAATGGCAAACGGACACGTCAGACGTTTAATAGCTCCACGGAGAATACACGTACGCCGGGTGTGTGATCGCGGGCTGAAGTTGTCTTTTTCCTTACAGAATCATCCGGAAGCATTTGCACTTTATAGAGCAAACACTACATGGGAAGATACAAACATCGGGTCACCGCTGTGCATAATCTGTCCTCATTGTTAAAGGCTGAGGGTCTGCCTTTCTGGAAGTTACCCAGAAGTCTCCATACCGTCCATGCTCATATTTTAAGCTGTGTCATATATCTGCCATATGTTTTCCAGTTCTATGAAGGGAGCAGTACCATGTAAGCTTTACAGTGGTTAGGGATTGGGCAGTCAGGTTGAAGGACCCACTAATCATCTTGCAGTGAAAATGATGTTTCCTAAACTTTAATGGTTACTTAATTATTCAAAGTAATGTTAAAATACATACCTTGTTAATTTGTATTCAACGGAGATTTTTTTATAAAGTGAACAGAACATACACCCCCTTACAAACATGGCATTATGTAGGACTCCTAAGTTTGGTCAGTGACAGTGACCAAGGAGCTGGAAGGCAGTCAGGCCTGGGGTGCACTGGCCCCCACACTGGCCCCCACACTGGCTCCCACACTGGCCCCCACACTGGACCCCACACTGGACCCCACACTGGACCCACATCTCCATGACAGTGTGTAGATC